AAAAAAAAAAAAAAAAAAACTAACAATCCTCTCAAAAAACCTAAAGAAACAAGGAAATTTCAAAATGTTCTACTTTCTCTTTACTAAAGAAATTTTCTAAAATTCAATGATAAATACCTTTTCTATGCCTGTGTAACATTCCTAATTAATTCAAACAATTAATGAGCCTGATGGCCCCAGGCCAAGTTTCAATATCCTTTTTAACAGTGTGGCTATGCAATATGGCTGGACATTCAGAGTTTTCACTCGTGATAAAATCTGAGTGTCAGCCCCTACCTGGGCCCGGAGGCATGCTGGGAAAGCCAACCATGCCAGCTCTTCCTGCCTTTTCTCTTAGTGACATCATGTTAGTAACCTGAGTCAGCACAGTGGGCGCAGCTGCACCATGGAAAATGATAAATACTACAAATCAAGGATGGTTTTCTGTTTCTTTTTCATTTTTTTTCTTGGAGAGCTGGTCAGTAGCCATTTCCTAATGCATCACTGCTGTGGCAATGGTTAACTTGTAACACTCAGCTGAACTGAATCAGTGTGGTGCTGGGTGTGGAAGGCCCACCTGAGGATTGTTGCCAACAGCATAAAAGGAGAACTGGAGAGGAAGAGATGGTGCTGTTGGTTCTCCTGGGAGAGCTTGTCAAGCTGCCTTTTCTGATAAAAACTTGGCTGTTGTCATTGTTGGAGGAGCTCAGGACCTTGTTTTTACTGAGAATTGCTGCTGTACTTTTGAAGGGAGCTCTGGTCCTCGCTTTGAGAATCGCTTCCTGGCTTCAGTGAAGATCCCTCAGCCTCCTGGCACAGATCCTTCATCCTGCTGGTGCAGACTTTCTAGCTTCCACCGCTGACCTTTCGGCCTTCCCAGCACAGACTTGAAACAGAACTGCATGAGACATTGTCATATGCTTTAGGGCTCCAGCTGGACTCATGGGGGCATTATCGTGGGCTCTAGGTCTTCAGCTGGATTCATGCAGAACATTGCCCTGGGATACAGGCCCTCAGCTGGATTCTTTGAGTCTGTAGTGTGCGGACAGATTTTCTGCCCTCTTTTGTATTTGACTCTTTGGGTGACTACTATAAAATAATCCTATAAATTATGTGTCCTGTATTAAATTGTTTTCCTTGCAAACCCTGACTACAACAATTGCCTAGAACATTTAGTCAAAAACATGCAAGGTATCCCTCCAAGTGCTGAGATTAAATGCAGGGATCAAAATACCAGATGGATCCATACCCTGGTAGAGCTTACGTTCTACCGGGGGAAACAGAAGACAGAGATTAAACACAATAGGTAAGTAAATTATGCAGCGCAGAGATCAATGCACAGAGATCGATGAGGTAGGGCACACAGTGAAGGTTTAGGACTGCTGTGGGAGTGGCCAAATTTAAAGTGGTCTGAAGAGGCCTCAGGGAGATCATAAAAACTGAGCGGTAAGCAAAGCCACTTAGTGCTGGCAACCAACAAGCAGCATAGGGAACAGCACCAGTGAGAAATACATGCTCCCAAGGCCTGGCCCCAGGGACCCACCTCCAGATGATCAGTACAAAGCCCCTTGATCCAACCACCTTTTTCAGAAGTCTCTTAATTCAGTCAAGTTGACTAATGATTAAGCTTTGTAATTCAGCAGAGTTGGTGTCTCTGTACTTATGGACACGCTGTGAGCATCCCACGACATGCAAGAAAGCAAGCATCTTTATTTTCCATGTGGACAGCAAGCATTACAAGCTTCCCAAGCATTTTGGGCAAGCGGAGCTAAGCAGGAAGCTCCTGCTTACATGGCCAACCTAGCAAGCCCTTCGGTGTTGCATGGCCCCACCACCCCATGCTCTGCCTTGCTGTTCTTAGGCTCTCCTTCCACCCGAGTTCTGCAGGGACCGCATGAAGTTTGAGTCTTCCCCAGCAGCGTGTGGTGGAATCATCTCAGCATTGACAGCACCGGTGCCATTAAAGCATTCTCCTGGTTTGATCCTGGAGCCGGAGTTCTGTCTTACTGTTCAAATAATTCATACCTTGGTGCATCCAAGGGTAGGAGTAGGAACAACTGTTCTGTATTCATCAGAGCAGTTAAGTATTTTAATTATAAATATAATGTGATCAAAAATACAGTGAATATTTAAAATGCTTTAAAATTTTATTACACTAAAAGACACATTGCCATTAGAGTCCCTCAGAGTTCTCACCCTTGCTTCAAACGCATTTATCCCATGGTTCTTGCTACGTTGTGAGTCAGTTCTTCAAGTCCTCTTCTGCAAGTAGCCTTAGCTGTGCTGCTGTGGCAGCTGTGATGACCTGAATCAGTTCAAAACATTGGCCTGTCATGGCCATTTTCTCTGTAGGGAGGAACCAGAAGTCACACAGTGCCATACCCAGTGAAAAAGGCAGATGAGGATAAAGTAATTTTTTTTTTGACAGAAATTGTCATACTGGAATTGATGTAGACATACAGCATGGTGATGGAGAATGAAACCATCTGCCATTCCTCAGGCTTTGAACAGAACCCTAAGAGATGTTTAGACCTTCAAAATTTTCCTTGATAGCCAGTCACCTCTTTGATAAAATCATTTCACTTACTTTTTCAATGCTGACTTGTGTTTTTGATGTTGGAGGACATCCCAACCTCTTCTTGTCTTGATTTACAGATTTACAGCCGCTTCTTGTCCAGATTTACAGCTGCTTGCCTGGCGTGGTGGTGCACGCCTGTAATCCCAGCACTTGGGAGGCTGAGGAAGATCTTTGGGAGTTCGAGACCAGTCTGAGCTACAAAGTGAGCTCAGGGCCAGCCTGAACTGCATAGGACGACCCTGTCTCAAAAAAACAAAACAAAACAAAAACAAAAACAAAAATAATTTACAGCCGCTACAACACCACTTGAACCACTTGTAAACTGTCTTCCTGGCCCCTGTGGATCCCTACAAACTAACTTTAACATTTTGTTTGTTTCTTTAGCACTTGCTGTGCAATTTGGAACAAAAGTTCCTGTCCATGTATTGTTTGTGATCCACAATTTACAGCGCATTTTAAAATACACCTTCTCTCAGCTGCAGCTCACAGGCAACCAGCCTCACTGAACATGTTGGAACTTGTCACTCGCTGTTGCTAAGGTTCCGTGGGCCACTTTTCCATAGTGAGGAGCCCTACCTTCCCAGTGGACGGCAGGCAGTGGCAGCATTCACCACATTTTCTGATCACACTGCCTGCGATGTTTTAACATTATCAGCCACTTTTCTAACCACTTTACCCATATGTCTTCATTTCTCACCCACAGTAAGATTCCCATGATCAGCATCAGCTTTTTCTTATAGATGAAGAAACAGACACAACAAGGTTAAGCAACTTCTGGGTGGAATTTGAACTGTAGAAATCTGATCCAGGGGTCTAGAACTTGTAATCCTCATTGCTATGCCAAGAAGATTCAGACAATAGCACCACTGACTGGGAGAAACAAAAGAGAAATCACACTGTCTGAAATAGAAGCTCAGTGAGGCAGAAAAGGGGCTGTGGTCACACCTGTCCACAAGGGATGCTGGGAAATGAATCGTGTTCCAGTTCTTTCAAAAGCAGACCCTGAAGTGGGGACTTGGGCACAGTGCTGATCCGGGAGATGACCCAGAATACAGAAGTGGGTGAGTAGAGATAGCCAGCTATGGGATGTTAGTTACTGAGCAGCTTGCTGCTCTGGGCACTGGGCTCAGTCTTGCAGGAATTCTCTGTGCTACTCCATCCAAAGAAGGGGCTGTTGTGGCCCTTATCCATCAACCTCCATCCTCCACTGGCCAAGGGCCGTCCCCAGGACATTGGGTCCTGCATGTCTATGTTGTGCGCAGCCTATTTTTCTGCAGCTCCAGAGAAGAAAGAAGAGACCGAGTGTGTACTTGCATAACAAACCTCCCTCCACGGGTGCAGTGAGGTGAAGGGAGCTGCAGGGGATGGTACGAAACATCACACATCTTTATTCAGGGTGGGCTGTGTACTGCTGAATTCTGGAGCTCACTGTCAGAGGAAGACAGAGTTAACAGATATAGGAAATCCGCTGGTGACCTTGGTCAAATACAGCTTCAATTTCTTCTCTAATTCTTTCTAAATACAGTGACTAACAGTGACTCTAAGCCAGTGTGTTGAAAGCTTGGGGCCAGAACCGCACGCAGTATTTCTGCCAATCACGCCTACAGGAGGTTTTGTGGGTGGAGGCTTCACTGACCAGAACTTTGCCTTTGCATCTTCAAGTACACCACAAATGCACTGGGCAGACACTGTCTCTTCGGCTTCTTTCTGTCACAAACAACATCTAAGCAGCTCTTACAAATGCTATACTGAGAAGTGGGGGAGAGGAGTTAGCTATTGCTGCATAACAAACCTCTCCTAAATTTTATAATTAAACGCAACATTTATTTTGCCATGAACTTGCAAATCGGGACAGCTCAGCTCTGCTCCATGCAGAGTAGATGCGGGTAGTCAAGGGTTGGGAGCTGGAATCACCCACCCTAAGCTGCTCTTGTTGCATATCTGCTGCTGATGACATCGATGATGGGTGGCCAGTGCTGGCTGTCAGCCGGCCACTAGTGAGGGATGGAGTAGAGCCCAGCTTTTAACAGAGAAGGACAGCCTGTGCTCGTTGTAGGCTCAGCATGTGGTTTCTGTGATCATCTTTGAAAAATGCGATCTCCTGTAGAGGGCATGAGAGCGAGATAGATTGTCCCTACCAACTACGCATGTCTCCGCGCATGCATATGTGTGTGTATGTGTGTGTGCATGCATGTGTGCATGTGTGTTAATTGCAACTCTCCTCTACCCTGTATCCATGAGCTCCTGCTGCCTATGATCTGACTTGAAGACCCCTTATCTCTCCATATCCCAGGCTTGGGACACCCTGGGAGGCGTCGGGCTTTATTTAGTACTTTTTAATGAAATCTGCAGAGCCTTGAGGGTTATAAATCATGTGCTGGGAGTTTGGGCTTGTGCTTAATGGCAAAGCTAAGACAAAATACTTCCCTCTCGGGTTTGCAGCAAGTTATTAACTTCCATTAGAAATATGACCACTCAGCAGTTTCCCAAGTTTTCTCTCTAATAGCACTTTCATCTGTTAGTACACTTCGTGGGACACGCACACACACTCACACAAATACACGCTACCTTTTCTTTTTCTAAATGCGGAAATCTAAATTATCCTTCCCCAATTACCCTGCGGTACTGAGTCTGCTTCGTATGGTTCTCCCCTCCCCTCAAGGCATCTTGCTCAAACTTCTTTTCCTTAGATCCCAAACCCAGTTGTTACACATGTCAACTCAGCATGGGTCACACCTAGGGCACAGGCCTAGTGACAGACAGCAAGCTTATTATTTGGTCACAATAGCCAATTCAGACAAACCAGACTCTTATATGCTCGGCAAATGGTGACTCATCTGTCCTGTGGAAGGAGTACACAAATGAGTCCGGCTCCAGCCCAGGCCTGCAAACCAACCCTTTCATGAAGGACCAGTAGAACTGGACAAAGTGCAGGAAATATGTCTGAGCCATCAGCGCTTCCAAAACAGTGGGACCTTGGAGGAGCCAGATCCCAGAGAGAAGGAGAGGAGGCAAGCTCTGTCCTGCTGGAGGAGGAGAAGCAGATTTGAGAACATGGGCAGCAGCCGCTCCACAGGAAGCTGAGCCTGGGGCGCATGTGCTGTCCCTGAACTGACCCCATGGCTGTTAGAGGTCATGCTGTTCCCAGGGATGGGGCTTGTGAGGCAGCTGTGGCAGTGAAGCAACAGTGATTATTTAAGAACAAGTAGATGAGTTTGGCAAAGCTTTTACCACTGCTACCAACGCATTTGGAAGAACTAGATTACCTGCTACAAATCTCACAAAGCCAAACCATCCATCAAAAATCTTGCTGTGTCATGGTGATGGGGTCCTTTTAATGCTGTGTAAGACGTTCAAACAGGTTTCTCAGAGGGTTTGATTAAATCAGGTGGGAATGAGAAAAAGGGCTAAATTTGGAGAACGTACATAGCCAAGGGCTTTGGACAGAACCACAGCCTCTCTCCTCTTTATTCATTTGGTCATGGAGCAGGTAGTGTTGCCTGGAGGCTGCTCAAAGTAGGGGTGACCTCCTACATGCAGGACTTTAGGGAACTTGAGGAGCACCCCAAACCCAGACCCTGCCCCATTTCCCTGCCGGGCCCTGTGGCTCCTTCCCCTGGCAGATGGCTCTGTGTTCTCCTCCACGTGAGCCATTAGGAAATGTGACCTGGTGGAAATCAGGCCATGCGTGGCTCCTAGGGACACAGAGCTGCCTGCAGGGAGTGGGTGTCCTAAGGGAACAGGGACTTGGTTGAGTCTTGCTGGGAAGGAGGAAGTTGGGACATCCTTGTGCTTGCTAACTGTCCCCTAGTTTAAGCCAAAGCGTGCACCAATGAATGGCCAGTTTAATGGAACTCCTTCAATTATACATTTGCACTTAAAAATAACTGTGCTTCAGAACTGTTATGTAAATTTTTGAAACTTTGAAAGAAGCAAATATCCACTTAAAACCAATCTCTCTAGAATAAAAGAACCTCTATTGCAAGTTTTATTTTATCTTTCCCATTATATTTTAGTTTGACCTTTAAGTAAAGACCTTTCTTAACCTGACAGTGACTTTCTTCAGCTCTCTGGCTTGGGAACATGTTCCCTTTCTGTTAAGTTCTAAGGCATTAAGCAAATGTTTGCCTAACCTTTGCTTTGAGCATAATCTTGCCTTTTAATAAAGTACACCCGAAGGGCTGCACTACTAGTCTCTCACGGTTCAGAGTTATGTTCCAATCAGGAAGTGGAGGAGTTAAAGACTTGTCTTGTTTGAACAGCCAGCCCCGTGTGATGAGACTGAAAGCCATGGATGGCAAGGAATTAGAAGATTTGAATATGAACTAAGGACAAATCCTATTCCTTCCTCCTGCTCAGTGTGGGCTTGGAAGGGGCTCCGATCATAGACTGCTGGGAGTATTTGCCACTCTGCCATATGAGTAGCCTGGGTGAACCTAGACTGCTGGGAAGCGAAATCTTTGTTTCAACTTTTTTTCTTTTATTTGGGAGGGGTGGAATTGGGTGAGCAGGAAAATTGAGGGGAAAAATTCCAACCTTGCTGCCATGCTGTCTTCTACCACCTCTTCCCCAGTGCAGAAGGAATTGAAAATCTCACTGGTCAGATCTGAGCCACTCACTCTCCAAGTTCTACAGGCAGGTGTGGGTGATAAGGTTTAGAAGCCACATGGCGAGGTGGCCTCTTGCACCTTTGCATGCTAAGCCACTTCCCACACCCTGTTTTGCTTCCAGCTGCCTGGACAAGGCCCTCCTGCTGGAGACAGAGCCATCACAGCTTTGGTGTTGTTTCCTCAAGAAGCAAAGCCTGCAACAAGGGTCTTGGTACGAGAGATTTCTCTGGGAACTTCAGTAGAAGAGCAGGAAGCTGAGGCAGGAAAGAAAAGAAAAACCAGGGAATGGATATAAAAGATGTGGTATTTTTATACAGAGGTATTACTCAGCCATAAAGAAGGATAAATTAGAGACTTTTGTAGGTAAATGGATACAAGTTGAGACTATATTAATACCCTCAGGAGTCCTTAAGAAACCAGATGCACATGTGCAAACATTGTATTGTCTCCCTAGTGTGAGAAGCTGAGTGAATAAGATCCAAAATGTACAACAGATATTGTAAAATAGAAAGGAACTTCAAAAGAAAACAGAAAGTGGGATGGGGGAATGGAGAAAATAAGGAAGGGAAAAGCAAAGGGAAAAAAAATATATATATCATAGTTAAGACAGTTACACTACTAATTTGTCTTAGTTCATTGAAAAGAAATGTTTGTGCTAATATTGTTTGGAAAATTAAATGCTGATGTCTTGTACTCTAAGTAACTAATTTAAAGATAAAAATATGCAATGTATTAACCATTGTTACTCTGCTATTATCTTGTTTTGAAATTTTGTTTTATTTTTCTTTCCTTTTTAAAATAAAAAAAATTAAAAAAGAAGAGAAAGCCACTCCCTGGGTGTGATGTTTAGAAAGCCATCCCCAGGGGGAGCCTGGTGCTCATTGTCACTTGGAATCTCTGAGAGTCAGTGGAGACAACACACTTAGGGGGCATCCCCTCTGTGTGATACCCCAACTCCTGTCAATCATTGGCTAAGGACTCCTGAGGGTATTAATTCCCTGGCACTTGTGGATTGGCATAAAAAGTGCTATGGTTTATATTGCGGTGTCACCCAGAAGCCTTATGTACTCATAGTTGGGGCTTGACGCAGGTGAGTGGACTGTAGGGTGCTATGGCTGACCTGAGGTGAGAAGGTGCAGTGTGATTGGAAGAGGCTGTCACTGGGGCATGGCCTGGAAGCATTTATCACCCTCCCCTCACTCTCTCCTTCCTGGCAGCCATGCTGTGAGCAGCTCTCCTCTGCCAGGCCCCTCTGCCATGCTGTCCTGCCTTGAGGCCAGCCGGCTATGGACTGAAATATTATCCACAATAAACCTCTGCTTCCTTAAGTGGTGAGTGCTAGGTATTTTGTCTAAGCAAAACGCAAAGTGACTAAAACATAAGGGGAAACTACAGCGACACTATCTGCCCAGGCAAGGGTGCAGGTGGTATGGACCACGGGTCAGTGGCAC